ATGTATATATATATATATATATATATATATATAGATATTATATTATTATAAATAAATTGTATAAAAAAACAGGAGCGATAGAAAAGAGTTTTTAACAATCACGCTATATATATTTATACCAAACACATTTATTATTATTATTAGATAAATGAAACGCATATTTAATAAATTTTATTAAATATTTAATAAACTTTCCTTTTTCTTTATCTAAATTTAAAATTATATTTTTTTTATCCAGGTATCACCTCGAATGGATATGGATGTGGAAGGCGAGAACGTCCCGGCGTATATACGAAAATTTATAATTATATCGATTTCATCAATGAAGTCATCACGCAAAAAGACATTCAATCTTCTCCAGTAGAATATTGCAAGGGTCACAGATGCCCTCTTGGAGAATGTTTACCTAGATCACGTGTCTGTAATGGATTTTTAGAATGCTCCGACGGCAGTGATGAACGAGATTGTTCCATAATCTCGCGATAATATAAGACTGATACGTCAATATATAAATGTAAATGCAATTTATATAAGCAATGCTAATGCGATCTGATAGATAAGATATAAATAGATAGTCTCGTTGAAGGTAAACTCACGTGATTGTATATAACTTATACGTTGTATTAATGTTATTAATCATTTCAAAGGCAGTACTTGCTTTCTCAAGTTTTACATCATACATTGTTTTATATCAATTATTTTTCTGTATTTAAAAAATATAGTAATATCAACTCGCAGTCACTGCGAGTTTAGCGATCATATAAATATAGTATGCAGTTAGCAACACGCAGTTAATCAAAATTGTTTGAAAAGAATAAGCCGATGAAAAAGATAGGATCATATTTTGAATGACGTGTTTAATTTAATACGTAAAGATAAGTTACAAAAACAGATGTGATAGGAGTTCCATATTCTTTCATATTATTAAATTACGTGTTGATTATAGATGTATCTATGATGAGATAGAATTAATATTAGGCAGCAAAACTTGATAGACTGTTGTGAAATCTTCTATTAATTTTTTTTGTGAATATATCTATAAGAAAAGCATTCTTTTAATTGTAATTCTTTTTTAGTTCTAAGTCTTCATTCTTTAATTCTGAAATGAATTCTATTTTAAACAAATTGTATATATTTAAAAATACAAAAAATTTAATTATTATTTTTCGGAATGTTGCAAATCGTCCTCAATGTCATGTTATTAATACACAGTGTAATCACGTTTTCTACACAAGTAATTATACAAATTGAAACCTGACTCGAGATTTATATTAGCTCTACTTTTAAACAGATATCTTAAGTTATGTTATTGACAAAATTTGATTAAATGAAAAGAGTCTAGTCTACAATATAAGAAGACACGACTTATCTTCATAATAATATGTAAATATTTAACGTAAAATTATAATAAATGTAAAACTTATAAGATGGTATAAATACATTCTTTTTATAAAATTCATGTTTTCATTTCTAATTTTTATTTGGGCTATTAGAGGGTAATTATGTAACATAATATAACTACAATACAATGAATAGTATATAACTTTATTAGAGTTATATTAGTCAGACTCATCACCAAAAATTATATCCACAAAAAATAGTAAATATATCGTACGTAAACTGGCGTTTAAACAAAAACTTTCGTAAGTAATTTCACAATACTGTTATTAGATTAAAAATAGTTTCGATAAAATAATCATACATTTATTACAAATTGTGCGATATGGACAAACGAACAATTCCTTATGAATTCCTTATGAATATTTTCGCTGTTATTTGTTACAAATGTCATAATTTAATCCTTCACTTAAGTAATGATACTTAAGTAATACTAGTATTGGTATATTCTCGTTAACATACTGTCAGAATCCTATTCCAGTCCTCAATTATTGATATTCCATTTGTAAATATCGTATAGTACTGAACTCGACAGAGCAAAAGTTTGGAGGCAAAGCATATCGAACTATTGATGATGGCATCCGACACCATTTAGGAGTAATGCTCAGAGGCCTAGTATCTGATTCCTGTTAGCTGTACTACTTGTATAATGTTCATTCCATCCAGTGTACCAGTAAAACTCTGTGCAGCGACAGGTTTGAGCAAAACTTCTTGTACGATAGAAAATGGTGTAAAGGTATAAAAGAGCGATTCGAAGATGATAAAACTTTTGTCCATACTATGTTTAACATCATCATTATGTCTTCTTACTTTCGAGCTTAAAATATACAAATACCTATCCAGAAAAAAAGAAACTTTATAATAATCCATAAACTCCACTAGATATGTTACAACCATTAAAGGAGTTCAGTATTTTGCAGATGATTATCTTGATTACCAAGATATCCAGTGATTCGATATAATTCAAATTAGCTTGACAATTTGATAATTCAAGGATCCAACAGCATAAAATTTCGTAAACAATTTTAATAAATATATTTTTATCGCTAATCACCGAATGCATCTCATTAATGTGTACAATTTATTATACGTTCACTAAAAACGTAGTCGTACATATGATTAAAGCCAATCAATTACATATAAGCAAGATGTACAATATTAAATTTATTTTTTTTTAACTTCGCATATTATCTGAAGAAGATAATAAATAATAATAATATTAATAAATTGATATCTTTGACGATCATACCTTTAATTATATTGTTAAGAAGATGCGTAGGCTATGCATATCAATAAATTCCTTGTGCTTTTAACCAAGTGAATCGACAGCCGTAGTACTAAGACCGTTCGGGCTAATAGTAGTCTTGAATTGCTCCGGTACTGGATATTCACTCTGTAATGCAATATATTTGTATGCAATATATTTGCAATATATACGTATAGAATTGTAAAAATTATACAAAATCATATATGCGAATTAATCGTAAGATAACTTACATAATCTCCATTGGGTTTGGGCACCATGACATTCATTTCACTAGATTTGCTGGTAATGAGTTCAACACCCAAGGATTCCGTATTTAAATACATTTGACAACCATCTGTTTTATCAATGGAAATTGTAGGTACTTTCCCAAGAACCTGTAAAAAATATAGAAAGACTCTCTTATTACAATCCAAAGTTCATATCAATTCAGCTTTTACAGAAAAACTGACAATACATATATTCAGAGTGTAGTTTGATAACAATTGCCTGTACAATTGTTGCTAACTGCTCGGCTTTGCAAACAGTACTGAAACATGTATCGATAGTGGAAGAGATATAGGAGCTTGACAGTTCCTCAAATTTCACATGCACAATTTCATCTGTGCTAAAATATTATTCCAACGAACACTCTATATATAAAAATGTTGTGGAAAGTTGGTAAAATCATTTTTTTTATCTTTAATATCCGTGTTAAATTAAACACAAATAATGTGCATATTGAAAAAAATCTCTTCATTTTCCAACAATTCGCACAAATGGGAATGTTTCAGGTGGAAATTTCGAAACTGTGGCGATAACATGTGAGACAAATTGGAAAGAATGTTTAATCGCGATAGCAAATTATTTATGGCGTGAAGTCGTATCTGATGTCGTTGATTATTTAGCAAAAGAAGGAATAATATGGGTACGCAATTATATATTCCGCAAATTAAAAATTCTTTTCTAAGAATGAATTTTTATTATTGAATAAATATTTAAAACATAAATCTTTGCATGTAAACTCACAAACTTAAAAATTTTCTGAATTATCAAAGTAGATTTAAGAATAATCTTTGCTCATACTTTTTTCCTAATATTTAAAGGTTATAGCAGTAGCCATCGCTTCTACAATGTTCATCCGTATAAAATATTGCAAAAATATATATACGAAGAATATTGTGTTTAATGAAAGAATATTAAATAAAGTAGGATATAAAATCCAGGATCTGGAATTAAAGATCAATGTTTTAACATATAAAATGCAATATGGAACGTGGCCGTTACCCCATCAAATTTATAATTTGAATCCAAAGTTACAAAAGATCAAAACGACTTTATCCGACCCGGGTGATCAAAAAAATTGGATAAAACATGTGCTGCTAAAGTATATAAAATATTAAACAATCAACAAACTTTTAATCAGATATTGAATAGTATAAATAAATTTTAATATGTGATTAATATATGATCTTAATATGTTTCTTTTTTTAAGTTTACAATATTATTATGTTTCAGTCCTTCGTTGGAGAGTAATATGTGTGCTCCTTATTTGAAGACGCATCATTCACTAATAAAATTGACAAAGCCTTTTGAGATAAAACGAGAATGTGCTCCGCATGTTAAACGTAGTGAATTATCAACAAAGTGCAGCAGCATTGAATCTTTAAAATCTACTAGTGATCAGTCTATAAAGTATAAAAATTAGAAATACATTACTTGATCTTTCATTGATTTTTAAGCACAATATTAATAATATTAATGCATTTTTAAAATATTTTATAGAGATAAGCACAAAATAGACTTGAATAGATTGCTTCAGAATTATTTTTTTATAATAATTGCGCAATTTTATCTAATTCTTTTTTAAGCAAAATCATTAATAGAAAATTAGATGTTCAATATTAAATTAAATATAAATTTTTTAATACATTATTTTATTAATTATTATATATTTTACTTCAGTCATAATGTAGAAATGTAATAAAAATTCAGAGACAGCACAAAATCTTTAAGATCACGTGCACGATGACTGATTTAGTTTATTTCATTAGTTCATATTCATGGAAATCAAATACCATGGAGTCACAAAATGTAAAAAGTACGAAAGAAAATGATCTCTCTAAAAGTGAAAATTTTACATTGCAACGGCAAAACATGCAGCTTCTACCATTGAATCCGGATGGGATTAATCATCAATCTTCAAAAATGACTCTTCCCTCAATACAGGATGCCGCAAATGCGACATATTCGACGAACGCTAAATGCAGCCCATGCCAGAAATTCACAGATACAATCTATAAATGTAAATCATTTCTAAAGAAATTGCAACATAATGATAAATATTTGCATTCATTAAATCACTCACCAAAAACGAGTGAAGCATCTTTGAAAACTGTGCACACAACAAAACAAGTAAGTTTATTAATTACCTTATTTAAAGCTTGTAAAAAAAATTAAAAACATATAAACTAGAAATTATGCATTTATATTCTAGACAATAAAAAATCCCAAAGGAATGAATCGTCAAGTCACATCTAATGATACTTTAATTCTAAAGACTAACAAAGGCGCATCCTCGAAAGAAAATGTATCAGTCCTTCCATTAATGCAACCAACACATAATGTACGATCTTCTCAAGAAACTTTATATGAAGTTAAAAGGAGACTTCAAAGTTTACATAATGTGTTGCAAACATATCAAGATATGAATCAATCTCTAAAAAGACAAGTGTCCGCAGGTCGAGTTAATGGAAATGATGCATCTGTCGAGCTTGATACCAACCACGATATCAATACAAAAAAAAATGTGCAAACACAATGCCCAAGCGTGGATAGTTGCGAATACTTTGATCTAAATCAGTCGGAAGAAAGTTTATCTTCCTTAGCCAAATATTCAAGTACATCAAAAGTCTGTCAATGTTCTAGCGAAAACGTCATATCTCAAACCTGTTCTAAAGATTTAAGTCGACATAATATACGAAAATCAAGGAACAATCTCCCAGCACTTGGGACAACAGAACCATATTTGCGTTCTTGTAACGCGGCATTAAATATGTCAAACGATTACGAAAATGAATATAAAAAAATCGCGTATGAACGGAACAATTCAGATTGCAGTCATGAATTAGAATCAGGTCCTAAAATCAATAAAAATATAATAAAAATAGATACTCTGCTTAAAATCCAAGACAACATATCTGAGACAGTATCGGACAAAATATACTACATTTTATCACCTGAAAATAAGAATATCCAGATTCAAAACAGAACATCACCAAGATTCGTTTCTGAAAAATTCAATGATATAATTGATAAAAATGAGTACCAAGAGAATGCGATAATATCACAAAATAGTAGTCAAAGTAAAACGTCGAATGACAGCAATAACAAGGAAGAGAAATCAACGGCATTATTACTTCAAGAGGCTTTACATTTTAAGAATGCCTTGCTGATACAGTCAAAAAAGAAATATCCGATAAATAACGTAAAACAGAATGATACCGCAGATGAATTTTTGTCGGAACCAAACAATAATTTTCCTTCAATGATAGTAGATATCAAGGCGGAAAAACCAATAATCAATAGTTCTCATGACAAAATTGATGAACATTACATCTATCTACAAATGAAACAACGATGCGACTTATCTTCTCAATCTTTGAAAAAATTAGATACATTCGCACACTGTGAGAACGAAAGAGATATGAAGAATCAGAATCATATTCCTGAAACATCTTCAGAATATTTTAGCATTACCGATTTTGCAATTCACGGTAACGCTGAGATTGAAAATAATGTTTCATCGAACCCTCCAATTTACGAAAAAGTAATCTCGATAACACTACCAGTTGATGTGAAAGATCAAGGTGAAATTAATAATATTAATGAGAAATCGAAACAAACTATCCTGCCAAATACTCAGACTCGCGTAAATTTACGAGAAAATTTTCGAGATGATGCAGCTTCTGACAATGATGTAAATAAACATTCGCCAGCAATGTTGAAACTCGAAGATCTCATAATAGAACGGATTAAAAATATCCGAGATTACATGGATGATTTTCTTCAAAGTCAAAATATAGCAATCTTTAAAGCGCGCAAAGCACTTCGATACAAAAGTGATAATTCTCGATGTTCAGCCGAGGTAAGTCGGAAAGTAACACGTGATCGATTAACTGTACCGTTTAGCTGCAAAAACAACGATCCAATGGTTTTTTCGAAAAATTCGTCAGATTCATTGACAAATACACAACCGAATTATAAACAAGAATACGATCAGGAAACGGATGCTGTCTTAAAACGCCCTTCCGATGTGTATTTGAAAAGAAATCCAGGCATGCTTGCACTTATTACTCCAATTAAGAATAAATTCTCTAAGAATGATGCGCGACAATTAAAAGTATTTACGGAATTAAAAAAAGCTGATAAATCTCCTCCAATAACTCTAATACACTCAACACACAAAAACGATTCAAAACCCGCACACAAAATAACGAATGTATTCACACCTTGTTATGAAGGACATGCTATGCAAAATACAGAAAGTGATGAGATAAATAAAGTTATAATCGCTGAAAATAGCGTAAATATGGATTTCCATAAAGAGAAGCAGATACAAATTAATGAGAATAAATCATCAGCTATGTCATATTTTCCCGTTAGTATTACAAAAACTAATGCAAAAGTTGTTCACACAGCCAATGAAGAATACGTGACGAAATCTAATTATAATTCGATCTGTCATAGTAATCCGTATTTCACCAATGAAAAGAAAGGATGTGAAAATAATAAAGGAGGTGAAAATGGATCATGTATCTTTGAAGTAATAAAAGATGTGAAAATGGATTATGTATCTTTGAAGTCTACAACGAACATACAAAACGAAGTAAAACAAGATGCTATTAAACAACAAATTACTGAAGATAAATATCCCAATGCAAATATAACATCAAACAAATTGCCATCAGATATCGAATATTCTAATATGACGATATTTATTGACTCAGATCTTATTTTCAACAAATCAAAACCCGATTATCTGACGAATGCGAAAACAGCATCTCCTTTGACAAAATTAAAGGAAGATGATATCACCTTTGATCCTGATGCTTCTCTATTATCTTTCTCATCAGAGAAACAAGATAAAACACTAAATATAGACAATGTTTCATTAAATAGTCTAAAGCAAAATAAAATATCTGCAGATATCGAACATTTACCATCCCGAATGGAAGATTATTCGACAAAATCATTCCAGACAGATTCTGAAATGAAGGCCAAAAGTGATATATCTTTAATAACTAGTAGAAATAAAGACTTAAACATCAACCTATATCCAAAGAAATCACATTCATTTTTAATGCATCATGATACCATGAAATACATCGACGATATATCACCTCAGTCTCACACAAAATTGTACGATATAAAAAGTAAATTACAATTTACAAGTCAATCAAAATCTATTATACCACTACAGAGGGTATCCACAAAATCTTGCATACCAATTTTAAAAAATCGTTTAGAATCATCTCATCGTATGAAGCATCGAGCACAAGCAAGAAGTCCTGCGAGAAGTTCTACGAGAAGCCCATTGACTATGTTATGGGGAGAAAAGACTTGTACAAAAGATCACACAACAGACGAGGAAGTTGCGCGAAGAGGAAACACTTCAATAAACAAACATTTGTGTGCAGAAGAGATGCTGAATTTAATTAAATTAAATACAGAACAGGATACTAAAGAATTGGAGAAATCTAATACGACATGCAGAAATAATGATATAATACCAAAAGAAAATTTACAAATTTTACCTGACCGAAATATAGAATCCTTGGCAATTAATGAGAAATATTCAAATAAAAAAAGAGATATATATGAAAGTAAATCAGATACGAATATAATGCAGCATATAGAAAAAATAGCTTCTAAAGAAATAGCTGTTATTTCTATTATAGCGAATGACAGTCTACAGAAAAAATATCCAGTAAATTTATTTATTTTAAACACAGAAAACATTTGTCCCGCGACAGATTTTTTAATATATAAAAATAAATTATGGACTATTAATGTTAAAAAAACGAAAAAAGAAGTTACGGAAAAAGAAGTTATGGCAAAGCCTTCCATTACAGATACATGTACATCAATCTCTGACTTAAAATGAATAGACATGTATAACTTGTTTTATCTTTGTAAATATTTTTAATATTTTTATTTATCAGATTCTTTTATAAAAATATTTTTCTGAATAAATCTTTTTACTCTTGTATGCATTAAATTATTTGTAGAATAAAAAGATTTAAGGGATCGAAAAAAAATTAAATTATTCAATAATAATTTTTAATCATTCAATTAAAAATAAAAATAATGTCGCTAAAAGAAATACAATTTCCCACAATAAATAATAAAAAAAGAACCAAATCTGTCATTATGACTTCTGACTCTCTTTCCGACTAGCTAGCTAATTTAATACACATAACATGTACAAATAATAAAACTATTTATTATGCATACATACCTGCATTTGTACGCTTTGACAATTAACGAATTCGATACTGGATACCACGGAATCGAATACGACGGACGATTTACGGCAGGAATCCATAACGATAGAATTTACCTTGCCTTTGATAGTAAGCGTACTATCTTGGCATCGAAACATATAAATCACATTATTCATCTCTACATTATCGATTACTAAATTCTCACCCTTATGATATTCCTGTGAAAAACACACAATATTTTATATATACAATAATAATGCATCTTTAAATATGTTTGTTATTTATGTAATGTCATACCACAAGCCATTTTTTGCCATCTTTAGTAAATACTGGTGGCTTATCAATAGGCGCGTTAGCCGGCAACACACTTTTCATTGGTGCCGCGTTGACCGTTGGTGCTTTGAATGGTGCAGGTCCGGATCTCAAAGCAGGATTTTTATGTGTCTGCATATCTGAGGTGACTTTTTTTAAACCTATAATATAAATATTGCTTATAATATCTTTGCGTAAAGATCATAGAGTTACATGCAGAACCGAAAATACGATAAAAATGTAGTTACTTTTCGTGATATCTTCTCCTTGATTAATTTGAGCGAAAAGGGCACTTCTGTCATCGTTCACCGTCATCGGCCCAATATCTCCAATTGGCATCGAAGGTGGTGGAGGAGGTGGTATACCCATAGGTGCAGCGGATTTTCCCCATACTAAACCTGTTGTATGATGTTGGCGAACGTACTGTTGCAAATCAGTCAAAGTTTGCACCCATGCTTTACACCAGTCTATATGTATCTTGTCTCTATAAACAGTAAAAGCTTTTAGCTTTGTTTTCTAATAACTTACAAAAAAAATAATAAATACTTTAAAAAACTTACTTTTCTTTCCAATCTTTCAATACACGATTAGTATAAAATTGACCAGCATCATTCATTTCCTTTACGTATGGCGCTGGCGTAGGAGATACAGCGACCCATCCCAATGCTGGAATACTTTCACTAATAGCTGATAAGTGATTAAAGAATGGAGATCCACGATTTTTCTCGCGAAAATCTTGAATCTGTTGTATCTGAGCAGACATAGGCGCAAGTAAGGATACTTGTTCCGACTGATTCGTCGGTGCTGCACGGCTCGCCGCCATTTGTACATACTGAAGCTGGATCCTAAAAAATTAATTAAGATATATTTAATAATTTATTCGATATGCATCTGTTTGTTCAATCGCAACATAAAATACCGCTTACTGGAAAGCTTTCTCTACAAGCTTGCTATGAGCAGCTACATCACCGCCGATTTTTTGGCTTAATTCTAAATATTCTTTAACTGGCCCAGTTAAAAGACCTTCATATCCGGGTATCGACATAGTCGTAGATAGTTCGGAAACAGTTTCTTGCTTCGAATGAAGATTTGATGTTGAAGATGAAGTACTTCCTACCGACGTAGATCTTTTCGGGGAAGGTGTACTCGTTTGTACAGCTATGTCTTGGGTCGGAACTGCAAAGTGTACGTTTTCAAGTCGTTTCGTTACGTTTTCCAACCGGTTCACTAACTCTTCTAGATGTTCTTCCTTGTCTACAGCTTCACAACCTGTAAATTTAGAAACAAACCTGTAAATACTTAATACAAACTGTATCAATAGGGTTTATTCACTCGCATATTTAAAAAATACGACAATATAAAATTAATAAACAAACGGCAAATGTAAACAGAAATGTAAACTTTATTCCACAGAGAACGCACTCGGAAACATCCGGAAAGATGCTTGGAATACTCCACCGAGTACTTGGAAGACTAAATATAGAATACGTTTATAAATACGTTGGCATATCTATATCACATTGGAAGCAGTGTGTGCATAAAAGTGTATGTGTATATATTATAAAATTATATT